GTTATTCTGAAAAAAAATATCTGAACATGCCAAGTTCACAATGTAGTTTATCAACGCCACTTAACATAGTTTGGCTTGGAGACATTGTGCGACTTAACATGATTTATAAAGTCCTTATTACAGGTAGGTGGATGCTGCAAGTAGCAAATGGAAATTATGATAATAATGGTAATAAACCATCTCTTATTAAAAACAAATTACAGGTAATACCCGCTTAATGGCGGAGCCTAGCTATAACAGCTATTCTTACACTTACCATTCACTTCATAAAAAGATGGTAGAAGAGTACAGCTGTACCTACTACACATAATTGAAAGGAGGAAATTGAAAAAATGCAGCAAAAAGGCATATGCTGGAGAAAAATACCTTTATAAAGCATCATTAAGTAGAAGAGCATTTAAATGTTTTCTGAAACTATATAGAGGCATGATTTTTGTTATATAATCCAAGCTATTCTACAACACGCATGCACTGTATGAGAATGAAGTTTAAAAAGAAATGAACTATGAAGGGGCATTTTTAATGAAGAGGTCTTTCGGATAGATCGTTGATCAACATTGTGTCTAAAAACTAGCTTTTCACGTAAATAAATTGGAGTTCCAAATATAAGTAACATACGTATAAAGGTTAGTTAACTGTATTTTACTAAATATGACATGTTTAACCCACCTACTATTGGGTAACGATCCGCAAAATGGTCAAATTTTCTTAAACTAAAAATGAACCGTATGCAGTTATTTTGTTCAACAGATATTCTGTTAGGACTCGCAACATCTAAATAGGGATAATAAGCTAGATCGCAACAATTAAAAATTGATACCACAAAAGATTCACACAACTTTTTTCTGCAGCAAATTTTTGTTCACATCCAGTGTTCTTAGACGGATATAAGTTCTTTGTAAGATTTTATTCAAATGTTTTCATCGATTAACAAACCGGCACGGCTATTATGTAAAAAACACATATGAAACGTCAAAAAACCAATAAAATGAGTTGCAGACTAGGTAGTTTTTAGAGTGCAAATAGTTCATTCCACGTCTGCTCACTATGATCGCTGTGAGCGTCCATCTATGGAGGAATGACTCAACTACACGCATTGTTGGTTGCAGAAAACAAAAACAAATAAGTGATGTTGCTATGCGAGAAAACTATTACTAAACCGAGCGGTTGTTTATACAGGGTGGCGCATTGAAAACGAAACAAACGTATTTACTGGCTGCTCAGTTTTTTTTTGGAAAAACGCTCAGACCCGTCGATTTTGTTTTCGTGGGGGACACAAGTTTGTCAAAAAATCACGTTAACACGTGCAGCTCCCTGGGCGGGGGTGACACCAACCCTAAAATCTTAAATGGAAAGGGGGATCGAGTGATACCTTATTTTCAAGTTCAGTAGTTTTTAAGACTTATTGATTTAAAGCTTAAAGTAGACTTTAATGGTACGTCAGATTAGTTTGTACTACTTTCAGAAGAAATCTGACTAAAAGAATTTACTTAATAAGTAAATGCTATTCTTCACTGCGCCCGTGGTTTGTTTATCATTTTGTTGTTGAAAATAGCTATTGGAGCGTTTTTTTTTTCTGGCAAAAAAGTTATTTCTGGAAGAAAGATAAGGAAATATCTCGTACGTATTTTAAATAGGAATTTAGTACATAGTGTGCGATTGATTTGACCAAACTTTGTTGCTAAAATAACTTGTAACGCTTTATTACATAAATTAACCATGATATATTCCACAAAAGAAAGAGTTGAAATTATTGAAATATTTTTCGGAAATAATCAGTGCGCTAATAGGACAGCAGAAATATTTAATGAGCGACATGAGAACAGTAACGTGCATCGAAAATATGTTCTAGAACTTGTAGCTAAATTTCGGGAAACTAGGTCAGTCGGCCAATAAAAAACGCAACATTGAAAATCCCATAAGGAACGAAACAAGAGAAGTGGGGGTTTTAGGGCAAGTTTATGTAGATCCTACGTTAAGTACCCGCAAATTGGAGACTGTGTGTGGTGTTAGTCGACGTACTGTCCAACGGATTCTAAAGGCCCATAGTTTTCATCCTATAAAATTCACCTGGTACAAGAACTTAATGAAGACGATTTTGATCGGCGATTACAATTTTGTGAAGATATGAGTGAACGAATTATAAACGATGAACATTTTCTATTCATCACTTGATTTTCCGACGAATGTTCCTTTTTCTTAAATGGCGTAGTAAATCGTCATAACTGCCGATATTGGTCCGATTCTAATCCCACAAGCTATCATGAGGTTCATACACAGCAGCCACAAAAATTAAAAGTTTGGGCTGGTATTTTTGGCGATCATTTAGTTGGTCCTTTTTTCTTACCTGGAAATTTGACCGGCGAAATGTATTTGGAATTACTGGAAGACGCCATAGATCCTGCATTAACAGCCATAATTGAAAATCAGAATGATCGGCGGTACATTGCGAATAGGTTGATGTTCCAACAGGATGGTGCCCCACCACATTACGCATTACGTGTTCGACAATAATTAGATTAGACGTTTCCAGATCGTTGGATTGGTAGAAGAGGTGCCATCGAATGGCCCCCCAAGATCGCCAGATTTATCACCTGGATTTCTTTATATGGGGTCATTTAAAAATCAAAATCTATGCTACTCAGCCAACATGATTAGAAGACCTGCGACAAAGAATTGTGAATGAGTTCCCCGTTAGGTCAGTTCATTCTTCATTTTTAAATTACTTTGCTGCCAAATGTATTGATCCCCACTAATGATGATGTATTAGTTTAATTTAAGCTTTAAATCAATAAATCTTCAAAACTACTGAACTGAAGTACATTAATTTTATATCATTATAAAGGGAGTTCAAGGTATGTGTCATCCTCGAAAACAAAATCAACGGGTCTGAGCGTTTTTCAAAAAAAAAACTGAGCTGCCAGTAAATGCGTCTGTTTCGTTTTCGGTTCGCCACCCTGTATGTTATCGTTGCTGAAGACAGGTCATGTTCAAAGTTATGAATTACAATTTTTCCCTTTTTTGTGTTTTCAAAAACTTTAAGGAGCATTACGGGAAATCGTCAGCGCGCCCGCGTTGTGTGCAATCAAGCCACAGAAAAATTAGACCTCCAATCCTGCCAAACATATAGTTGAAGTATCATGACGTGTAGGTAATAACAAAAACTATATAATGTCAAAAAAATCGACAACGTCACTTTTCGAGATTCATGATACCCGTGCCTGCCACTTGACACTTTCAGAAAAAGGAATACTCTGATTTATATTTCATATACTTAAAGAAGCTTTGGCTACATCTCTTCTGTGGTTCGGACAAAACAGCTGTCACATGCTAAAATTCTTTTTACTGTTTTGATCACTTATGAGTAATTTGAATTTCTCTTCAATAATAGTAGGGTACCTGTTCTTAGACCAAACCTTTTTTAATGATTTTCTTTTGTCAAATTTCATAGTTTATTGATTGTAGAATTTCACACGTATTATATCTGTCACTACCAGCGACTCAGTATTGTATTGAAATCTTTCTTCTATCTGAGAAATTTCCTCATAAAATAGTGTTGGTCCCTCGTAGTCAGATTTGTTTCTGCCCACAGTCTGCCTATCGGTAACCAACGCGCCATCTTATGATGTTTATACGTAAAATGCCAAACAAAATCAAGAACACACTAAGAATTTCAGTCAGCAACAATCAATATATCAATATCTATAAAATACCCAATTAAAATTATATTTTACCTGTTTACGTCAGGATTTTTATAAAGGAGCAGATATGGCGAAACAGCTACAAGGCAGCTACAAAACAAAACTGGAGGAGTGTGAATGGTGATTCTCCACAATGGCTTTCCACTAAAAGGAATCAGATATTGAACAAACTTCTCCAGGACAAGCATTAAAGGACGTAGTCCGATGGTATACAAAATAGAACTTACCGCTGGATATTAAAATCCCTTAAATGGACGGATGGTAGTACCCATACCAACACAACTAAACGTAAGGTACAAAATGAAGGGGTACTACTACATAAACTATCGCTTGGGGCGTTAATATCCCAAAATCTGTAAGGTAACGAAAAAAAACGCCCGCAGACAACCAAAATTACAGCATAAAGAAAAATGGCGCTGGACCGTCTACGCACGCAACCCCCTAAAAGAAGGTTGAATAAATGGCCCTGAAGAAGGCAAGTTCGACAGAACATCAACAGGAACAGATAAAAGCCGGTAAAGAAGATATCTTGATAGTAAGGTAAACATTCATATATGGCTAGTACGTACAGGGTGTTTCAGAACTAAGGGATCAAACTTTTAGTTATTCAGTGTCACAGTAGAAAACATTTGAGTATAGGGACCCATATCCGGAAAGGTCACTACGGCACTAAGACCCGTTAAAATTTATAAAGACGATGAATTGCCTAAATAGGATTTAATGCATTCAGTTTTTGTCTTTTGTACATGATATCATCACAACAATTGTTCAAAATGTCTTCCTCCAACCTAAATAGGGGAAGGTGGTACAAAATGATCCCCTTAAGGGAAAACGGCTGAGAAACGACTGTATCCAGCTTTTGATAAAAGTTAAAATATTTAAAGCGTAGCTATGCAATCGAACTACAGATTTAGTAACCTTTGAATCGCGTAAGCCATTAGGAATAATTTTTATTAATTTTTCCGTGAAGCTCTACCAAAGGATCATTTTGTACACCCCTGTGTCCAAAATGATCCCCGAGATGCGGGTAAAATGATCCCCCGGATCATTTTACCCCACTATACAAAATTCATGTAAGAACTAAAAGAATCAATAATACTTTTACAAGTTTTATTGCAGATTCAGTATCAAAATGAATTAATAAAACACATAATATTTATAAAAAGAAACTTTTATTTAGAGGCCAGTAGAAACGAAAAGGAATCTTGAAATATACATTAGAACATTAATATGTACATGGATATATGTTCATATCATAAGAATGTATATAATATCAACTTTTACAGTCTTAATTGTTTCCGAGCAGAAGTGAAACGATCATCGGCATCGACACAAAAATCACATGTGAACTCGTCAGCGTCATCGGGATCAACGCCAGCGCAAGCTTCGTGGCCCCATCTTAAGCAAGCACAACATTTGATCCATCCTTCACCTCTATTATTATTGGAAAACCTCTCATTACAAAACAAACACTCAGCATCACTTTCGTCCTCTGAAGATGACTCACTTTTGCCTCTTTTAGGTTCTAGACGTTTGTATTTTTCGGTCACATTTTCTTTTGCTTTTCTTTTTCCTTTTTCCTCATTTGATTTAGAATTTCCCTTGATTGAGTTCTTTTTATTTTCGTTGCGTTTATTTTTTTTTGCGTTCTTTTTCATTTTTTTTATTAACTTCCTCTTCTAAGTAATTTTTATAAGGCGAACTTGTAAGGATTGCTGTACATACTCGAGCTTTGATATTTTTTCTACGTTCTTCTGCCATTTTAGGGAAAGGTCGAATCTGGCATGGAGGGATGCTAAAAGATGTGGACGCAACTGGTGATGCAAATGAATCTTTATCCGAAGTGTCATAAGACGCCGATTGAGCAGCAGCTGCAAGAGATGGTGTATTCGTAGTTATGGATGAGGTAGAAGGCGAAACATTATCGTAGACGGAAGATACTTCAACTGATGTCCACGGTAATGGAATGGCGGCTGAACTTCTCAAGCTGTTAGAAATACTTTCGTGGGAAGCCAGAATAGTAGTAGGTGCTTCAGCTACACGGTATTCGTTACTCTCTCCTTGCTTGTGGGCTGCACATGTCGATAAGGTACAAGGTGACACAGCAGTAAGGTTGGATGGTTCATCAACTAGTACACATGTCGTAGAATCGGCTGGAAGTACAGGAGCCCTGGGTATAAGATGTCGCGGTTTATGGTCACCAAAAACTTGAATTTCATCAGGCGCTATATTTATTCATGGATGGGGCACCAATATTTCGTTACTTACTGCTTGATCAGTTGTGGTGGCAGCAACGAAGTCTACATCAGTAAAAACATCAGGATTGAGCGGCCATATTCCACACTTTTCAAATCCTTTGATAATATTTGAGGGTGCAGCAGCTTTCAAATATGCTTCTCCAAAGATTTTACCTATTTGAAAAACTGTTACTACACGACCCGCATTATTATTCATCCACCTTTCTAAAGCCTGGTTGTGATACACGCTCAGTGGAAACATTACACCAACATCGAGTGGTTGAAGTTTGTGCGTGCAGTGTGGGGGTAAGCACAAAATTGTTACGTTATTTTCTCTGGATTTTATTATGACGTCCAAATTTCTGGTATGAGAAAGATGGCCGTCCAGTATTAGAAGTATGGGATCTTCTGTAGATGGTTTAGTATGGGACAAGAAATGGTCAAACCACTGAGAGAAAACCTCAATATTCATCCAGCCGGAGGGATTGCACGCGTACACAGAGCCTGGTGGAGTACCGTCCATTAATTCTATTTTCATTCGCAATCGGCGAAATATTAGCATTGGTGGTATGAAGTTTCCTCCAGCTGATCCGCAAATAACCGCTGTAGTTGATTCACCTCTTTCGGCAGACGTGATTCTCGCTACTTGTTTGCGCCCTTTTTTGGCAAAGATTTTACTATTTTTGGTCGGAATGGTGTTCAAACTAGTTTCATCAACGTTAAAAATGCGATGAGGAGGAAATACATGCTTTTCCTGAGCTTTTTGTAAATTTTTGTAAAATTTGTCAATAATCGGTTTATTGAATGCTCGAGCTCGTGCCGCTGACGTTGACTCCGGGGCACGTAGAGTGATATCAGGATGTCTTTGTCGAAACCCCCTTAGCTAGTCTTTACCAGCTTTACGGGACGTAGTAGAAAATGGATGCCTTATTTTGTTTCTTTCAGCTATCTCAAAAGCAAATTTACGAACGTCATCAACTGTAAAACCGTACATAGTCTCTTCATTGTCTTTAATATGTTGCACTAGCTCCAGCTCCTGTTCATCCGTGAATACTTTCTTGATACTTCCCAACATTTTGGTGCCCCCCACAGCGTAAACGTTCTTTCCTTTAACTCTTCTTTTAAGTGCCATAAGTGGGACTAAAAATTGTTTGGAGGCGGCTTTATATGGCATACCCTGTTTTACGGCTTCTATGGCTTTAATCATAGCTTGTTCATCCCAGTTCTGACGTGTTGTTTTCCGGATGTAATTTCGCGGCATGATTTCTGAAAGTAAAACGGCATTAATGGCTACCGCATATTTTAAGCAACAAAATAAAGATAAATTGAATAGTATCACAAGGTTATATATTGTGAAAACTTATGACTATTGCATTATTGAAGTCGTTTTTTATATGCATACTAGTTACTATTGGGTGATTTTAAAAAAAAAACATATCTATTGGAAGTAGGTAGACGGGGTAAAATGATCCTAGGAATCATTTTGCCCACCCCGTATAGGGATCGTTTTGCCCCAAATGCGTCATTAACGAAAACATCAGAACATAACCTTTGTTTCTCGAATATTGAATGATGGTTAATTCTATAGTTAATTAGTACCAGAAACTGATACAAACACACCAACCACATAATATATACATAGAGTAAAGCACCATAATGTCAAATGATGGCTTACCTTAGATTGAGAGCACTGATTTTAAATATTTCGTGATAAAATCTTCACCATTGCCTGTGACGCCACGATACCGACTGAGATTGTACAGCTTAACCATAGGAGCGTGTAGCTTATTAAAAGCATCCTAGATGACGCTATAAACTCAGTAAAATAGCCGGGGATCGTTTTACCTTCAGGGATCATTTTGTACCACTTTCCCCTACACCGATTTAAACGTCGCACATGATTTCGGCGGACTTGACTAAAAATTTGATACTCGTTTTGAATGATTTAAAATGCTGCTGTAATTCCTTCGATTAAGTCTTGCTCTGTTTCTACTGGAGTTTCGAAAAACAAAGACTTTACATGTCCCCCCACAGGAACGGTGCATTCAAGTTGGAGGAAGACATTTTGAATAATTGTTGTGATATCATGTACAAAAGGCAAAAACTAAATGCATTAAATCCTATTTAAGGAATTCAGCGTCTTTCTAAATTTTAACGCGTCTTGGGGCAGTAATGCCGTAGTGATAATTTTCCAGATATGGGTCCCTATACTCAAATGTTTTCTACTGTTACACTGAATAACCCCTACATGTTTGATCTCATAGTTCTGAAACACCCTGTATAAACATCATAAGATGGCGTGCTGGTTTCAGATAGGCATATTGTAGGCAGAAAAAAATCTGTCTACGAGGGACCAACAATATTTATGAGGAAATTTCTCAGATAGTCGTTAATAATACTATAACATTAATGTCCCAAAGATTACAACACCATACTGAGTCGCTGAGAATGACAGATATAATGCGTGTGAAATTCTACAATCAATTAACTATGAAATTTGACAAAAGAAAATCATTAACAAGGGCTTGGTCTAGGAATCGGTACTCTACTATTAATAAAGAGAAATTCAAATTGCTGGTAAGTGAACAAAACAGTAAAAAAGAAGGTTACGTGATTTTGGCACATGACACAGCACAACAGAACATTCAGAAGCAATAGTATTATCATGGACTTAACATGTAAAACATACTTCAGGCAAAAATGAACTAAACATAGTTTGCCTCTGAGGTTAGCCTTCTTAACCCTCGTAAGCATAGATATTTAACGCTTCGCATCTTGGCCCAGTAATAGCTCACTAATTGCTTCACTTCCTGACCTAATAATGGAAGCTGTTGAATAGTTTCTTAACCTGAGGCAACAATTCAAAATGCGCCGCAGCTCGGTTACCGGTCATGCGTTTGACACCCTGAGGAGTACCAGCATCGGCCGAACCGCCTTCGGGGGAATGGTCTACACGACATAGCATCCCGAGTTGTTAGAAGGGAAAATCAAGTTAGAGTTTAGGCGGAGAGGCAATCGGCTGGATTGAATTAGCAGGGTAGCTTGGGATTTGGGAGCGATGTGGGGAGGTGTGCTGGGGCTGGTGGTTAGATTGTTTGAACGCACCATACCGGCGTGGGGAGGCGAACAACCGCTGAACGTATGGCGTCACCGGAGAGTTTGCTAATCTTTAGTTGCAATTATGGGATAGAGAGTGTTGGGCCAAATATCGGCGACCGCTATTTGGCCTGTTTCTATTTTTGGCTGACATCGAATGCAGCTCACTACTAGTTTCGTTATTAGCCAAATAATAAAAAACAGAGTGAATATATATACATATGGGTACCTTAGTGTATAAGTGTACCATTATTTTTCGAACACTTTTATATCCTGACATGCATGGTCTCGAGGAATATAATGTGTGAGGACGGTGTTGGCCTTCTCCACCGAGTTGTGTATAGATGTTTTTTCACTACTATCATTTGAGAATTTACTGAACGTCCCACAACTCTGTACAAATATAGCACACGGAACGTCTGAGGGACACTGTTCTACAAAGTTCTACAAAAGTAGATGAGACGTACGTTGACACATCATTCGATTTCCATTCGTTATCAAATACCTCAATTTATAAAATAGCAATGGAGGACATCAGTCATAATGATGCCATATTAGTGGTAGATCTCAGAGAGCGGTTTCAGGAAATTATTCTTCTGGACTAAGAGATGGAATACCGCAAGGGTCTGTTCTCGGCCCTCTGCTCTTCACCATATACGAGCCCCTTCCCACTTCAGTTGGCCGACTTCAAGATTTGTACCAAAATATGCCTTTATAAACTAAACATGACGAAACTATTTACTTCTAAAACAATTTATTTTCTCAAAAACATTTTAGATACACTCTAGACGTAAAAAATACATATTTGAAATCACTTAGACCTATAACTAATAGAACATCAAAACAAATAAACAATGTGCGAATAAATGCGTTAACAAAGCAACAATTGAAAGATTACCATCGGATAACATCACCTTAATTTTTATTACGGCTGAAATTCTTTGGGGCATAGTGTTAACCAAAAATTTGGTGTAAAACAATCCCATATTTCTTGAAGCTTTTGTCTCAGTTCGGTGATTGTACGAGCAGGATGTTGTCGTAGAACCTTTTTCATCTCGTGCCACAAAGTTTCAATAGGTGACAGATCTGGACTGCTAGAAACCCATTTCAAAAGTGGTATATTATTTTCTTCCATCCATTTTATAGCCTTTTTTGAGGTATAGCACGCTGCACCATCTTGCTGAAACACAAAATCTTGGCCGGATGTCAAACATTCTTCCATCACTGGTAAAAGCGATTCTTCTAAAATTGCCAAATATTTGTTTGCATCCACATTTCCATCAATAAAATGAAGTTTTCCTACTCCTTTTGATGACATACTACCCCAGATCATAATGGATGCTGGAAATTTCACTTTTCTCTTCAGGCAGTCAACATGGAATGCTTCATTTTTTTTGCGAATAACTCTATTGCGACTGTCACCAACACAAACTTCTAATCCGGCCTCATCACTCCATTGTATTGCACACCATTGTTGAGGTGTCCATTGTATATGTTCTTCAGCCCATCTAAGCCGATTTTTCTTTTGCAGTGGAGTTAATAGTGGCTTTTATTTGGCCTACAAACAGGTTGTGCAACAGGTGTGCAAAGGGTTTTTACTTAACTTTTTTTTATAAGAAAACTTACCTTGCAAGTGCTAAATCCCAGTTTGTGGGCCTCTCTATGAGTTGTGGACCTCAAAATTCTCCTTCCAACAGCGTCACTCCACAGAGCACTTAATTGTAAATAATTGGCACGCCTGTTTTTCACGATTATTCTTCTTAATGCTCTTCGGTCGGCATTTGTGATATTACTTTTTTCACATATCGTGGCTTAATATTAACTGAACCAGTTACGTTATATCTTCTAACAATATTTCTCACACTGTACCGTGATAAGTCTAACAAAGTTTGAATTTCTGAGTTTGATTTCCCAGAATTAAAAAAATTAATTATCAGTAACCGAATTTTCTCACTATTAACCTTTCCTCTACCCATTTTGAAAACCTTAACTACCCAGAACTATTTTAAACGTATTCTGACAGCTGTGATTAATAAAAACAATTATCATGGCTTTTATTTTTCACAGCCACCTATGCGTTATAGACTTATTCTGCATTGAAATGAAAATGGGTTGATATGCTGTAATTTCAATATGTGTTATTTTTATGCTGCAAATTTGATTAGGGAGTGATAAAGTTGGTGTTTTCTATTATATATTATCAAAATATTCATTGTTAATATTTTAAACCTATAACACCCTGCTACATTTTTATTATTTGTGTTTGATAAGAAAAAAACTAAGATTTCAATAGTTGGGCCAACTGAACTGGGAAGGGGCTCGTATACATCAGACATAATTAAAGTAGTTAAAAGCTGTGATGCGGTGACATACGCTGACGATTCGATGTATATGTACCTATATCTTTTTATCCCCAAAATTTTGAATATTCAGCTTCTCTAATTAACCCCTTATTGCATCCTGAGTCATATATGATACATACCAATATTAATATTTTTTTGAAGCTCTAGAATTTAAAGAGCGAATAACTGCATAGTGTCGCATATTTGGGACCGAGGAATAACCACGTTAAAATAATGCCGACGCTCCTCCGACAAAAAATATGACCTTGGAGCGGTTTGCAAGTTTACACTCGCACTTTTCGTGGTACAGTCGACATCTCCGATTTTATGAAGCATTTTTGTTGGGTGAAACGTAGGTTTTGGTGATAGAAAAAAATAGCTGTCCACAGTTTATTTGTTACTTGTGCGTTTCAAGGTAAGTTTAGGCAATAATTTCAATTTTTGCAGAGGTTACATACAAAAATTGTTTTGATTCATATATGGGACATCATGCGATTATAACGAGTGATAAGAGTCATCTTGATTCCAGATGGATCCAAAAATATTTTATGGAAGCAGTAAATATGTTACGAATGTACCGGAAAACAATGAAAGTGATGATCCCGATTTGTCAGACGATGAAGACACAAATAATCCAATAATTAATGATAATATATTAGCATTTGACAGCGACGACAACAGTGAGCCTGAAGGAGATTATGATGAGACAGTCATTTCTGAAACAGATGTAGAATCTGACGATAGTGAAAATATGACTCTACACGAAATTGCAGAGAAGATGAATCCAAGCGCCTGGAGAACTGGAAATCTCGTGAAAGATCCAAAAGATCTAGAATTTACAGGCAATATGAATATGCCTCCAGAAGTTACTGACTTAGAAACGCCATTACAATTCTTCAAGTTCTTCTTGACTAAGGAAATCATATCAGCAATAACTATCGAATCAAATTTATATTGCTCACAAAAGCGTATAAACCGTCCTTTGAACCTCACAGATGATGAATTAGAGCGGTTTATTGGCATATATGTTTATATATGTCTATTATACAACTACCCCAAGCTAGAAACTATTGGTCGCCACATTTAGGTCATCATAAGGTATCAGCAGTTATGACATGTAACAGGTGGGAAGAAATCAAAAGATTTATTCATTTCAACAATAACGATAATTTCATACCTCGTGGTACACCTGGACATGATAAATTATTCAAAATAAGACCTTTTCTAGACAGTTTACAAGAAAGACTAAATAAAATTCCAGTTGAAGAGAACGTTGCGGTAGACGAACAAATTATTCCAACTAAAGCCAGATCAACAATAAAACAATACAATCCGAAAAAGCCACACAAGTGGGGCTATAAAGTATTTGTTTTGAGTGGAATCTCCGGCTTTAGTTACAGCTTCGACATTTTTGCTGGATCTCAGAGCAACGTAGTTCCTGTTGATGTTCCTGATTTAGGAACAAGCAGTAATGTGGTGCTAAAACTTGCCCAAAGAGTCCCTAAGCATATGAACCATAAAATATTTTTCGATAATTGGTTCACCAGTGTCCCACTTGTGGTTTACGTGAGCAAAAATGGCATTCTTCCTCTTGGTACTGCGCGCTTGAATCGAATTCCAGGTTGTAAAATGCTATCGGAAAAGGAATTCAAGAAACTTGGAAGAGGATCTTGGCAAGAAAAAACTGCTATCAAAGATGATGTGAAATTAAGTACTGTTTGCTGGTATGACAACAAAATTGTCACAACTCTGTCATCTTATGTCGGCTCGCAACCAATTGGAAGTAAGCAAAGGTTTTTTAGAAGCGAGAAATGCTACAAAGATGTGCAATGTCCGCAAACAATCCTAAAATATAATGAATACATGGGAGGCGTAGACCTATTGGATTCTATGCTTGATTATTATCGCATCAAAATTAGATCCAAGAAATGGTATCTCCGCATTTTCTTTCATTTTATAGATATGTGCGTTGTGAATAGTTGGCTTTTATGGAGGACGCAGAACGAGTTTTATATGCCACTTGCAGATTTTAAGGTAGCTATTGCGGATGCTTTATGTATCAGTGGAAAATCTGTATTGAGTAGAAAACGTGGACGACCTAGCGCCAATCTTGAACATGCTTATTTGGAAAAGACTAAACGTGGACCTGCGGCTGAAATTCCTCAAATTGAAGTAAGAAAGGACGGAATAGATCATTTGCCGGAATGGAGAGAAAATGAAAGAAATCGATGCAAACATCCAGACTGCAAATACCAATCATATATTTATTGTGTAAAATGTCAACTACCGCTCTGCCTAAATAAAGATAGAAATTGTTACCTAAGATTTCACACCGAGTAACTACATAAGACTGGTTGTTAGTGCATAGAGTCCCATATATGATACATACCCCTTTTTTGTAAATTTTTCAATAAAAACTTAATAAATATTTTTTTAATTATTTTTCATCTAACTTGTGCAGACTGATCTACCTCATATATTTTTTCCATTGAAAATAAAAAAATCATGCAATAAGGGGTTAATAGTGTTTTAAATGCCAGTTCAGATTTTGGAAAGCCGAATGGTCTTAAACTTAACGCTGAAAAAACTACAATTATCATTTTCAGCAAAAAAGCGAAAAATATTTTATTAAAGAATAATATGCACCATTCTTTTGAAAAAAAGCGAAAGAATTGTTATATCCAAAAGTCTATATTGCATTGTCTTTTATTTCCCATGTTTAGATCAAGCCATAACGACTACAAAAAATACAAAATGATTGTTGCCGTCAGAAAGACAATTAAAAAAAATATATATGACCATACCTCAAGGAGCATTGATAGTATGGGCTGTTTAAACGTCGCTGGGCTTTTCCGATATCATTTACTCACTATTGCACACAAAAAATGTAATTAATATAATAATAAAAAAACATTATATTTAAAAAATAAACTTATACCCCGCTTAAATATAATTTTATCCCATAGAGCTTTCGGATCTCCACATTTATTCACCATGCCATACCACAAGATAACGTTATTTAACCAATCCTTTACATTTAACCAAGTTACTCTATACAACTCAATTCCGGAAAGCCTAAAACAATTGTCTTGAAATAGATTTAAATATTGTTTGAAAGTTCACCTTCTGCCTAAATAAGCGTATTTGTCTTATGAATTTGTGCTTGACGATTTAATTTCAGATTTAAATATATTCACAAAAGTTTGTTCACAGTTATATGTACTTTTTTCAATATTTGGGTCAAGTGGCAGAATAGCTACATGAGCTAGGTAATCATTATAAACAAATATGATTATTATTATTCAGTAGATTCTGTAGTAACTTGTAGTAATAAGTAATAATGTAACGAAAACACCGTTACTACTGTTCTAAGTAATTTATTACTCTTACACTAATTTATCTCAACACATAGAACTAATTTATGACACATTTATAACCATGTCGACTGGACTGTAACTTGTTGAATCACTTCGCTGCTCATTTATTGTCTTCAATAGGCGGTGGAGACACCTTTTTTTTTTTTTATATTCCAACTACCACGAAGGCCTAAGGCCTAAGCACCCATTGGGTACCGTGGGGCTATGGGGGATACATGGGAAAGGGGGGACGCCACACGGACTCTGGCGAGGGAACACGTGTGCATGCAACATGCACACATTCTGGCTCCGCCTACGAGAACCGCCGGGTGGTACCTCCGCGTTCGACAGTCAGAGACCATCTACCACCTACGGACAATCACAACATCCATAGCCAAGAGAAAAATTTCTCCTGGGACGGGACTCGAACCCGCACAGCGCACGGCGACTGATCAGGAGACCGAAGAGTCTACTACTGCGGCCACCGCTGCTGCCTAGAGTACCTATTTTGAATTCAACGAAGGTTTCAAGATGATTATCGATACCTCTCGAACGCTCCGGAAGTCTACCGAAGCTCCTCAATGAAGCCGCACAGCCGCGTAGCTCTGGTTGCCTAAGCATCGATGTTTCGACCTATCGAATCTTCTGGTCGATGTACGAGGGGGTCTCGCTGTTACATAAGAGTTTCAGTTATACGAGGGAATTACAATAATTATTAGTAAAGCAGTGACAATTCCGTGCTCCGAACAAGGAAGCTCTACATGAATACTCGCATTCTGTAAGTAGGGATTTTGTATTATCTTTATTTACCAAGGGAGGGGGGGGGGGGTTAATGTAACTTCTCCTTAAAGAAATTCAGTAAATAATGGCGATATCTCAAGTTAGTAGTGCAAACATTTTTTTAAGCGCTCATATCGGTGGATTTTGTGTCGGCAAGTCTTTGTTAGCAAAAAAAAACAGTACGTCACGGGTTTGTGCAAAAACATAGTGCCAGTATCTTAAAACTAAATTGATTATTCTTAAAAACTGGCTCTTGCAGCTTTTCGTTCAGGCTGGCCCTCTTCGAAATAAAAATTAATCTATTAACTAGTAGGTGAGCTAGATAGCCACTAATGTCAATGTCAGTTGATGATGCTTTAGGAATAAAGTGAAACGGGATACAAGACTCCTGTGCTTCACAAAGGAATTTTGTATAACCGTTTACTCCATCATATATTATATAATGGAAGAATTTTACTAAGTAAGAGTATTTACATTCGCTTCGACATGTAACTTCTGGCTATTTCATTATGGACTTATTATGGCCTACCGTTTTTAGCAGATCTATTTCTTCCAGCTTTTCAAGAGGCATGTCTGAATGCGGTTGTATTCAAACTATAATGTGTGAAGTCAGGGGAAATAACAACCGCAGAAAATCCAGTTATCGGTGAAAAGATAAAATTGTATCGGTTAATCTATTCACTTTTATCGTACAGCTATTCCGGCTTTATTGTAGCACCATCGTCAAATACACTTGACCGCATTTTCAGTGTTAGCTATGGCTATTACCCTCCATAACACCCTATTCCGTTTCGAGATCCAAGCGCGTGTAGAGGAATATTCTTGTTCCTTTTGTGAGAGCAACTTTGTAATGTTGATGGCTAAAATATTGCTTATGCAGTGCCGAATTCCCATCCTGCTTATTTTTTTCAACAGCTCAAGTTAGCAAACTAAAATTTGGAATGATATATTTGACGCATGAATACTATACTAAGTGACATATAAATCCGAACACCCAGTTTAAATGGTTTTATTTTAATAAAACTTTGTATAAGTACTTAATGAAGCATAATAAGTAAATGATAAAAATTTCAAAATGATTGCACTGCTTTAAAGCCCTTTGACCTTTAATAATGTGTGGATGCACCCTGATGTGCTACGAATTCTCCAACGCGCCTAGGCATGCTTCTGATCAGGTGGTCAATGTCCTCCTGTGGTATCTCATTCCAGGCAACCACCAACTCCTCTCGAAGTGCTTCTAGAGTCTGAGGAGGACGTTGCAAATTGAGCAATCTCCTACCCATCATATCCCACACGTGCTCAATTGGGGATAAGTCGGGAGATCTTTGTGACCATGGTGAAAGAAGTCTATTGTGACTTTTGCAACATGTGTTCGGGCATTATCTTGTTCGAAAGTTGGATCTGCCAGGGTGTCAAGATAGGGTAAAAGATGGGGTTCTAGAACTTCGTGGATATAACGCTGCGCGTTCATGTTACCTCTGATGAAGATTAAAGGTGACCTGGAACCATAAGCTATAGCACCCCAAACCATAACTCCAACAGTGTGATGAACATGTCTTTCAACAAAAAACTGTGGATTCCTCATTTCACCACTTCGCCTTCTAACCCTGGCACGACCATCGTGCATGCCTAAACAAAATCGAGACTCGTCACTAAAGACAATACTGTTCCATTCCTGATCCCAGAGTGACCGTTGTCTGCACCACTCAAGGCGATTACGTCGGTGTTCTCGAGTTAAAGGGAGGACCCAGTGTAGGCCGGTATGAAAACAAGCCAAAACTTCTCATACGTCGGTAAACACTTCGCATGCCAATAGGTCTTCCGTGTTCTGCAAACCATTCATTTGCAATGGACCTGGTAGTGGAGAAACGGTCCCTTAAGGCCAATAATCTTAGGCGGCGATCTTCACGCTCTGTTGTTCTACGGCGGCGTCCAGTGCCCCTTGCTCTTTGCGTACGGCCTTCTCGAAGCCATGCCTGACAACACCTAACCACAGTGTCTACACTTCTTTGCACTCTAACTGCAATAGGCTATTTGACTAATTTTGCAAAATCATTTTAAATTATTCTTTTATATATAATGAGCACACTACATGAATATTTCCTGAAAATCTATACTATTTTTAATAGAAATCAAATTTAAAGTTTGAATTTTTAGAACCGCGCCAAAAACGCTATTCCTGTGATGGCGCCGGCAGATGACGTCTGTGACGTCACACGCCATTAAACACGATCACGAGCTGTCAGCCGAAGTTAATTTCATTATTGTGCTTGATTTTGCTATAAAATCATAGATAAAATGGTCTATAAATGGTGTGTAGTGCCAAAATGTACGAATACGTCTATAAATAGTCCACAAACATTGTTTGTTTCTGTTCCAACCGATTGTAAAAGACCAAAAAAGTGGTTACTATTAGCTTGGAGAGACCCAAAGGGCATTTCATCGACTTCAAATGTATTTATGTGTGAAGATCACTTCGATGTAAGTATAAATTGAATATGTTATCTACTAGGTAGCTTAAATTACCGCTTTTTTTAAGATTGAAATAATATATAACTATCTATAACCTCAAATGTATCTTTGGTTATGTTGAGGATAAGTCAGTGTTGAGGATCAAACATCCTGTTTATTAACCCTAAACTTATTACTCTGTAGGGTTTCAAAATGTTTTCTGTTGTTTTGATTATATTAGCTACCTACATATCTCAATAATTTTCTATGCTGTGTCATTTTACCTACTTTGCTTATTAGATAGTGATAGTTATGTTGAATTGCAGATGGAAAAAGACACCATTAACTACATGCAGTACAAAATGGGTTTCAGCAAGAAGATACTTTTGACAGAAGATGCTGTGCCAACAAAATTTCATTGTCAAGAAGATCGTAAAATACCACTGTCTGATGCTGGACTTTCTCGAGGAGCATATGTCAAGAGGAAAAGAATGGATTTGGTCAACACATGTTTGCAAAGTCAAAATGCTACTGAAGCCCAAGCTGAAAGCTTACAAAAAGATGAGAGTTTGATACAAGACATTATTGAACCTCAAGGTATGTAATCTATTACATGTGTCCTATCATAAATTATAGTCTAAGAGCTGATAGACATTTTTGTAACCTATTTGAGGCCTTATAAAAACTTGTCTACTACTTCTTCCATTATTTCTGAATAAAAAGGGCAGAACTGAATAACATATTTGTAGCACATTGAGATTTTCACAGAATAATATTTATGGTTTAAAATTGATATATTCAAAGTGATAGGTCATTTTAGTGGGACATTTTACTTGCTAGGTGATCAAGAATGCTCAACTTGTACTTCAGGTAATGGGTAATTTTCTCTCAAGCTGTTGATGTTGTGATTCACTACCCCTTATCCAGCACTGCACTTTTTCTTCAGTGATAATGGTAGTAGGAAGTAGTAGACAACTTTTCATAGTGCCTTAACATAATCATTTACATTGAAATTAAGACATTAATTTTGAGTCTTTGTTCTTTCAGGTTTATCAAGAACTCAAGACAGAGAAACTATTACCAACTCTATCATAACTGCAGAAAAATCTGTGCAAGTAACAATAAAAGAGAATGTGCATCATAGGAGCAAATCTGTGCAAACAAGATGCCAGACTACAAGTATTTCTACCTCACCAATGAAAGTTTCTACAACATCTCGTTCCACTTCGCACTTTAAGATTAAACCATGCAGTCTTCGACCATCACAGTCTGAAATTGTCAAAGCAGTCAAGAGAAATGTTTTTCTTGAAGATGAAAAGTCAGATAGTGATATTTCCTGTATTGAAAGTGGTCGTCATTTATCACCTTTTGTAACTAAATCAGCATCATCATCATCAGGGCTTACCGACTCTGATAGTAATGTTACAGATGCCAATGAGAATATTGAAAAATTAGAGTGCCTCAAAATTACTATGCGTTCAATCTCTAAAAAACCAATGATGTATGTTGGTATTCCAAAAGAATGTTATTTCTTAATCAAATTGTTACATAAACACACAAGCATAAAAGTAGAACACATTTTGCTATGCTTGAAAAAGATTAGAATGAACAGTACATTTTCTGAACTGGAGGATAATTTTGGAATATCATTATCTTATGCTAGTAAATTGTTTCTACAAAATATACCAATAATAGCTAGTGTTTTAAGACCATTCATTGTAAATATAGATAAAAAATTGTTAAAAAAAAATCTTCCTATTTCATTTAGACATAACTATCATAATGTCAGTTGCATCATAGATTGTTTAGAGATTGATATACAAAAACCATCAAAGGCTCTTCATCAGTCATTGACGTGGTCAGAGTACAAAAAGGGGAATACTGTGAAGTATTTAGTATCCTGCACACCTAATGGTTTAGTTAATTATGTTTCACATGGGTTTGGGGGCAGAACCAGCGATGCCACAATAGTAGAAAATTGTAACTTTCTAGATGGATTACCCCAAGGATCCTGTTGCTTAGCTGACAGAGGCTTCAAACACCTTGAACAAATACTTCATGAAAAGGGACTAAAACTATTAAGGCCACCCAGTGTAAATGCTGGTGCAAAGTTGTCAAAAACTGAAGTTCGACAAACTAAAATAATAGCTAGTTTGCGGATTCATATTGAAAGGGTAATAAGGCGTTTGAGAGAATTTCATATTTTAAAGCAACATTCAGTGATAAATACTAACATACGTCGTGTACTTGATCATGTCATTATAATTGCATGTGCTCTAATAAATTTGCAAGATTCTCTTATTAAATAATGGGTTTTTGCCTGTTATGATACTTTATACTTAATTATTATCATGTAATCTCCTCTTTTGTGACATACCATTTGAACTTTGTGTTTTGTACTTGGCTGAATAAATACTTCTACTACTACTACTATAAATAAAGAAATAAATGATGTAAAACCATGAATAAAATGATAATAAAACAAGAAATATGCACTGCATAGTTTTTTATTTGATAATCACAGACTAGTGCTACGATACAAAATAGGATATATATTTTTTTTCCAAAAAATATACAAGTTTTTTATTAAGTTGTTGACATAGTCATCTTCGTACTTCACTAGAATAATATCTACATTTTTTGTTTCTTCAAAGTTGCTATCAGCAACACAAAAATAACATTTTTTCATACCAGTTGCATGCATCTGTAATTGAACCTGTGCCTTACATTTCTCTGAAATAATTCCATTTTTTAAATAATTGTTCTTAGCTTTTGCTTTGGTAGGGCATTTTATTTCAACAATGGCATCTTTCAATAAACCATCAGGAGATGCTGCAAGCATGGGATTGTCTTGGCATACATAAAGTCCACGTGTTCTGATTTTTTTGTTCAATGTTATACTAACTGTCTTCCGGACAGATAGCTCCAAACTTCTACCTCTTTTCATTGCAATAGTATCTGGTATTTTTGCGCCCATTATAGTAGCAACCAATGAACCATCAGGTGTATGACATACGCTCACTTCATGTGCCTTTGAAGCTGTGATACGGCCATACCGCATCTCATACCACAAGCTGCTCTTGTACTGCATTCTTGTTGCTTCTTCAATTGCACTGATAGCAGCTCTGTTGAATGTTGTCTTCATTATGTCTACAAGATTGTCTACGTCTGCTTGAATTTTTGGTGGTTGGTCCATTATGAAACAGTGCAGCGAATACCGCATAACATTTGAGTGTTTAAAATCGTCCTGATATTTTATCAATTCGCAGTGTTGAAGTTTTCTTTTTTTGGCTTCCAAAACAAAGTCTGTGTAAAGTGCTGATGTACTTGGTCTGTGTGGTACTTCCTTTTTCGACATCTGCTGCACAGTGATGTACTTCAGAGTAGTCCCTACTCTTGACAATGTTGGCTTTTTCCAATAACATTCCACCGAAGTAGATGGAGGTTCCTCACTGCGCCGATGTACCCACATCAAAAAAGCGACTGCATGCTTGCATCCTCCTGCTGAAGCAGCACAGTCATGGCACTGACAACTTATTATCTCGCTTTCATTTTCGTTGATAACCATTGTCACATTATAAGCTTTTGATCTCACTTTGTGCTCTGGGCACATTTTGCACTTAAGTGTGCAAAGTCCATGCTCCCGGTGCAGCTGCACATAGCCAATTGCATCGTCTCCGTAGGACTCCCTTCCAGACCTGTAAAACAAAAGCAAAACATGAAAGTATGTTTTATTCATGAAACCATATATGAACCATATTATCATATTGAACTGAAAGCTTTTTTCATTACATCAACATAACCTAAGATAAGATTGATTTTACAAATCTTTTAATGATCATACATAAAGGTTAGTAGGTATAAATAAATACTTTCTATTACTACTTACATTGTTGTTTTCACATGTTTGAGTTCCGCAACATAGTAGTCCGCATTATTTTTGAAGAAAAATGCTACCATTAATGCGTCAACCTTAGGTAGATTGCTGTTATCAGCTTGCACAAAATTTAGGTCCATTTTGAAGTCCACAACGAATAATGATGTCAATAGTTGAAAGATTGATCAAGAAAGTAATAAAAATCTGTTTATGAAATAGAATTATGATAGAATATTTCACAGAAAGCCAGCAAAAACGTACAACGCGATGTTTGTTTACATGCATGTGACGTCACCAGAGTCGCAGCCAATCGCAGGGCGTTTCTGTGACCCATCGAATTTTTAAAAATAGCTGATTTTTATTTGATTATTTCCCAAAAAATATACATATTTAGGTGTACATTAAAGTACTATGTGTTTTCTTATTCTACTATCTAATAGGATGACCACAATTCGCAACTTATTTTCAATACTGTCAAATAGCCTATTGCCCGAAAAGAAGGTCCAGCTTCCCGAACTCCCACTAATAGGCCCCTATCAAACTCACTAAGTTGACGAAATCGTACAGGTCTCCGTACTCTAGGCATCGTAACCGATCGTAAAGGATGTCAAGAACCAAAATCCGCCAACGTTGATTCTTTACTGCGGCTGAAATATTCATTTTTAGAGCGTTAGTGAATTAAAAAAAAGCAGTATAAAAACCGGAATGTCCAACTGATAAGGCTGAAAATTTTGTCACTTGTTATTTACAGTAAGATAAATACATTCACCAACTTTTATTAAAATAAAACCATTTAAACTGGGTGTTCGGATTTATATGTCACTTAGTATATATTTTAATGTAAACATAACAGTTAAACATTTCAAGGTTACAAACTAACTTAAACTAACTTTTCTTAAACAAGGAGCAGGGGCCGAATTGTATGACGCTTCCGCCACCACGGTGACCTGCAGGGGTATTATGCAAGAAAACCTAACAAACGTGAAAAAAAAACGACAAAATGTCATCGTGCTGTTCGCTGACGTTTAGGCAACACGTACAGCTACAAAACGAGCTCACAACATGCGTAACAATTAATGGTCAGGAGGGCTGTTCACCTGATTGATGACGCTTCTCTAACGGACTGTTACAGGACACTTCCACATCGATGAGTCATCGGCGATCTAGCTCTCTCCTACCGCTATGTCAACGGTTTTGCTCGTCAGAGCTCTCCTCCATGATACCTCCGCGCCTGACAGACAAACTCGCCTGACTTCGGCCTCCCATTCTAACCGTGTGGAACTTCGTACATCCATAAATGGCAGATACGATTGCTCCTTTGTCCCTGGGGTATCGAGATTGTGGAACGGTCTACCCGAGTATACTAACCTTAGGAAGTTCGGATTGGATTAACAAGGTTTCCTTGAGCTCCTCATAGCAGCTGCGGTGCCGTGGTATATGCTTCTGCCTAGAGAAGAAGGCCTCTGAATATGATGTTTTTGCCTTTTGTGTCTATGAAAATGACCAATCGTATACGACGTTGTTTAATGCTTGTTAGCAATAATCAGTATATGTCTTGGAATCTTGGAGATAAGGCAATGAAAAGTATGTACAAAAGCAGATATGGTCTGAAAAGCACAATATGTAATGCGCGAGTAGCTGCCACTGTCATTTAATAAACAGATTGATGCACTGGTGAGTAAGATAATTTTTATTTTGAAAGCTGTGCGTCGTTATACATAGTGACTAGGCGGCACGAACTATTTGATGTGAGTGCAATTTTGTACATAAGATAGTAAGTATATTTGCTATCTATCAAAACACATCTCAATATCTTACTCAATAACTCTATGGGTGGTATTAATAAAACGTGAGTACATGCTCTTAGTACGTGCTTAAGAAGAAATTGAGTATTGGTATTAATAAAATTTTGATGCAAAAAGGAGCACCTGCTTCGGCCATGTGAGTACGTGCTCCAAATAATACCGCTGTGAATATTTGCGAGTTTCGACAGGTTTTTTATAATATGCGTGCCGCATCGCGATATTTAGTGCGATTGTCCTAAACTGTATCCATCGAAGAAACAAAGTAAAATCAAACATATACACCCGTATTGCACGTGATCAAGAACTTAACCGTAGGAGACGCTACAGGGCCGTATCAAGCTATTGTGACTGATCAATCAAAAAATGTCGTACAAGATATGTGTTGCTGTAAATTCTATCAAAAGCATAGTAAATTATCAGGAATATACCACGCCTTTCTAATCATATTTCGACATTAGGAATCAGTGCAAAAAATTCTGTATTCACCATTTCAGCAAAATGTTACTAAAACGCACACGAAAAAAACTTGTGGACCATCTCAATTGAAATTGTTCATATTTTATTATTAACTTACATACATATATACCCAATAATATTTACAAATCAACCTTCTATTCACAATGCAGAGCAAATTTTTTTGAGCAAATAGAAACTACAGACGTAGTAGTAGTAGTAACATACAAAAGTTTATTACAGACTCCATAAAGTTTGTTAGTTTGATTGCTATTAAAATTTACATGAGAAATAGGAAGAAGGTCAAAATGGCACTATTATGCTTTGGAACTCCTAAATTAACCCTAATTTTGTGTAATTATAAATTTGGAATTTCCACATTAATAACTAGAAACTTACACTTTGATTGCAGTCTATAATGAACTTACCTGTCTTGCCAAAAAGCCCGTTAAACTGCCAGTCTTAATGGTATCAATCGATTTATATGCTGTATTCCGAGGAGCTTGAATCATCAGAATTGTTGATGTCAATTATAAGGGGTTCAACTTGGGTGTCAATGATATTGTCCATATCCCACATTTTGGTTTCAAACTTCTCTTGGACATGGTCAATACATGTTCTCCATTTTGCTGGCGTAATTCTATCGACAGCAACATCAAACAGTTTTTTAAGGTCAGAAAACTTAAAAGTGCTGTTATTTGACGCCACGTATTGCTTGATGTCGGCCCAAATGAACTCAATACGATTCAGTTCGCAGTGATAGTTAGGCAGCCTGAGAATCGTTTTATTTTGGTTTTTGGCCATTACTCAGAAACTTGGATGAGATAGCAAAACTGAGTTCGGAGCTTCCAAATCATTGATTCGATCAGAAAATGAATTATCTGCATCCAAAAAAGTTCATATACTTCGAAACTTACCTGCAGGATTTTTCAATCCCGTCGAAAGGCCATCTAAAAAAGCCTGCACTGAGGACCTCACAGATCTGTCTACCCAAACCTTTGCCTGCGTATGCCCCGCGTTCACCCATGTTTCGTCTAAATAATAAATTTTTCTTCCTTCAGAGCGGAATTGCCTAATTTTTCTAAGGTATTCTCTCCTCCAGATAACAATTTCCTCCTTTTCTATCAATAAACTATTCCTTCCTCTTTTCAAAAATCGAAAGTCTAGTTCTTTCAACAGCTTATGGAACGTAGATCTTTTAAAATTTGGCAGGTCCTCATCATCATGCTTATTTTATCTATATATATTTTATCTATTGTAGGTATTTCATTCCTGAAGAAAAAGTGATGTACTTTTCTTCTAATGGCACTTTTGTCAAAGTCATCTATTTTTTCGATGATTTTTTTTTTGCTGGATATGTTTTTGGCTCAGATAGTGAGTGATTTTGTCTATATTCCTTCAAGATTTTGTAAACACTTGATCGACCTACTCCAGAAATTTCAGCAACCTTACATACGATATTTTCTATAGCCAATCCACTATTCTCTTGCATCTGGTTCTTGTAGATATTTAGAATAATTTGTTTTTCACCTGCGCTAAGATGAAGCTTTTTAGCCCTTTTTCTGGGTGACGTTAAGCTGATTTCAACCACTTCATCAGCTATATCTGTGTCAGACATTTTAGATTAATATTAAATTTCCGCAAGAAAAATCAAGTCAAGACGTGCATAAAACGTTCGCGCTCATAAACGGGTATCCGTAACTGATTACAATCCTGTGCGTGGTGACGAACCATCAACGTGACGCTAAGAGTTCCCTCTACTATGCAGCGTTGCCAGGCTTAATGTCACAATGATCATGTTTTATTGGGAAAATTGTCAGAAATCGCCGAATGTTGAACAGAAACATTACAAGAAGTCTAACCTTGAAATGTGAGGCTACAAATCGATATTCTTATAGGGGGGAAGGGTAGGGAGCTGTTATGGTTCCTATTAACCTTGGTGAAAGTTGGAAACGGTAATATCATATATGGCATACATTCGGTTGAAGGTGTGTGCACGGAAAATAGATTGCGGATAGGATTTTAATAGATAAATCTGCACAAAAAAACACAAAAGGAGATTTTTGTATTTCCCTGAAGAATATCTCAAGGTTATTTCAGATGTACTCATCGAAACTTTATGGAAGGATTATCGAAACCTTATTTTCAATTGCGATAGGGCCACATACCTCGACATCGCAAAAATGTGAAAAATAAGACAATAGAAAAAAATTCCCTCACTGATGCTATCTCTTAGGAAAAATTTAACTATAAAGATTGCACAAAAATTTTCTTCACCTTTTTGAGCTTGTTTTCGCATCTCCGTATATGCCGTTCATAATTTGCTGCAGATCAAATTGGAATATACCTTTGTGATGCCATTTATTGTTATATAATGTCACTTACAACAGTTATTGCACGTATTGCACCAACAGATTGATTTGTGATCCATGCGAATGTGATCAACCACTCTGGCGAAAACTCGCCGAGCGTGGCAACCGTGCGACTTTGTCTGGAGGCTCGTCGCTACAAGCCAATCAGGAAGAGGCCGACAGAGCGCCATGGCTACCGATCACGCGTTGATCACGAATCAACCACTGTTTACGATTACTTTGTAGCTTCGTTAGATACACTTTAGGTCCTATCAGTGAATATATTTTACAACAATGGATACAGAAGAGGATACCAACGCCAACGGGAAAACTTGTGAAATGTTAAGTTTTGTTAGTATTATTGAAAAATTTCCCGTACTTGTGGAAAAGTCTAACATACTCGAGATTAAAAAAAGGCGAGTACAATCGAGGAGATAAAAGGTAGACTAGCAGATCAATTGGGAATAGAAATGAGTGAAGCACAGATATGGAAAAAGTTAAACAATCTGAAGGCTATAATAAAAAGAAAGACTGATAAAAATGAAACAGGAAATAAAAAGATCCAACTAAGAGGATGGGAAGCTAAATTCTTTACATATATGGAAGGAGAGATAAATCCTTCAATTGGGAGAGTAAAAGGTAAATCTAGTGTGTGCAAAATTCAGAGTATTTAATTAGCAATTTTTACAACTACGAGTATAGGAGAGTTGCGCCAGAGCAAAAATGTTTATTTTAACGAATTTCTTAACACGAATTTTAAAAAAAGCTAATTGAGATAAGAAAATCTATAAAGACCTTGTGGAAATTTCTGTGGGTGTGCGAAAGTTATTTTTATTCAAAACGAATAATTTTAAGTCATTCAAAACAAACTGCAAAAATAGGATAACAATTCGATTATTCGTCTTTACATTAAAATTACTTAAGAGTTGACTAAATATAACTAACTTTCGTACACTTTCGGATGTTTGAAGGTTCCAAAATCTTCTTTTATCAAAATCTATTGATAAATAGGGTCACTATTTGAGTCAAAAGTTGGTCATGTTTTCCATTTATTTTCAAGCGTAAATTTTTTGGCGTATTCCCTCTTAAATGCAACAAAATATATGCTTCATCATAATATAATACGTATTACGAGAATTGTTAAAGTATCTCCTAATACTGCAAAGGTACTATGTTTCAGATATATTTAGTTTTTATTAAGGTAACTAAAAATACATATTCTTTTTAGGAACAATTTCTGCTGGTGTAGGAGCGCCTAGGACGGAGACCGAATAAGTCAGTCTTGACTGTGAACAATATGAAAGTCAGCTAGAAGTAAATGGGTCCTTTATAACATCCGTTACGTGGTCTTTTGAGAATGCAAGTTCTAGCTCTGCATTGCCTGGAACATCAGCGGCGTCTTCTACAGTGCGCAGACCTGTAAAAGAAGCATCCTTGAAAAACCAAAAACAAAAGGAAAAATTACCAGAAACAAATGAAACTAGACACCTTAGTACACAAGAACTTCAACGATTGGAACCTTTGGAACAACTGCAAGTCTTTAGGCCTGCAAAGGAAATACTACTACAGAAAAAACAAGATCAGGATAGCCGGCAGGATAATTGCGATAGTCAAGGAGAAGTAACAGAAGCACAGGGAACGACTACGTGCAATCTAGAAATCCCTACTTTATTTAATTTAAACTAAATAAAGAATTATTAATAATTTGATCATTGTGTTGTTGAAGTTATTCAAAAAGGTAGATACATACCTAGCTTCCAAATTCAAATTTTACAGAATGATGCAACCAAGAACAATTCGTGAAAATATTTTTTCCAGCATTGCTAGTTTGTGCAGTAGCCGTCAAAGTAATATTTCTTTAAATTGCAACACCGCACTTCTTTTTAATATTTTAGTGGATATTGTATTTCTGAACAAAAAAGTATAGTTACATTGTTTAATTGGTGCGTCCGTTTTCGCTCAATTACTTAAAAAAGGACTAAAATAATCCAACTGACAATACACATTTATTCAGACAATTGTTTTAATTGTTGTTGAAATTGGACCAATAAATGCCAATCATAATACCCCTACATAAGTCTTTGCCGGAACCGTTTAATTTCCTCAAAATGGAAAAGAAATTTATTTTTTGATTATTCTAATTCGTGATCCAGCAATTGAACGAAAACGAACGTGTCAATTAAAAAATGTTTATAATTTTTTATTCAAAATTGCAATGTCCGCTAAAACACACAAATTTGCAAAGACGGAAAAAATGCTTTTCCGAATTTTTCTTAGTTGCATCATTTTGTAAAAATTTGCTTTTGAAACTAAAAAAAAATACTGTTTAATACTATTATTATAATTTCTTAGCGAGGATTTCTGTATGTGATAAAATATTAACATGAATCAAACTAAATCAAAAACATTTATATTTCTACAAGACTACTTTTTTACAAAACGTAATTACTGGACGTTTTCAGAAGTTCTTGTTAATGAGAGTTTCCTGTATATATATATAATATAATACAAAATACAAATACCACTTAACTACTAATGACGAAAACCATGAATTATTCTTACTATTTCGTCTCTTCTTAATTGTCCTCTCTGGCGCACAACTGCCTCACCATATTCTGCAGGCATCTGTATAGCTTCATCACCATTATTGTTGAGATCTTGCGAGATTTCAAAATTTTCCTCGTTGAGGTGCTTTGCAACATCATGCAAAATAAAGCAGCTTAAAATAAGAGATGAGTATTTTTCTGTTTTTATGCGAATTTTGGTTTGCAGTATAGGGAAACGCTGTTTAACTTGGCCAAAACATCTTTCTATTATAACTCGTTCTCGAGTGAAAGACCTATTGTACGAAATCCGCTCTGGAGTAAGAGGATCTCTGTATGGCGTCATAAGTCCTTAACCCGAATCTCCAAGGAGAAGTGCACTAACTCTATTCCACTGCATAATGTTAACAATGTCGGAATTTCTCCATATACGCGAGTCATGAACGGCCCCCGGCCAAGATGCATCCACACTTGTAAACTCTTCTCGAACGTTGCAAGTAGCCTGGACGTTAAGACTACAAAATCCCTTTCGATTGACATATTCATCTCCATGTACTGCTGGTTTAATAATACGGATGTGAGTGCAATCAATTGCGCCGATAGCGGAAGGGAAATTGTATTTTTCTTGTCATTTATATTTCTCTTGCTGCAATGCTTCTACGGTTGATGGAAACTTTATCCATACATTTGATTTTCGTACTATGCTGCCACTGTTACAGATACCGTTGTTTGGTGTACACCAATGTCCTCACCAACACCACTTTGAAATCCCGGGTCGCCAACGTAACGAAGAAAAATTCTCATTTTCTCAGTAGATGTTAGAGCACCACCTCTGTTTTCAAACTCATCTCCTAAGAAATGTTGAGCCAACCATTCCACGTTGTTCTTATTAAATCTATATAAACCCGATAGTCTACATTCTGAGATTCTGTCCGAACTTTATAATGCCTTCTAGCACGATGAATAGGCATAAATTCAGCCATTGCGTCTGATAGTACGTTTGTTACTGATGCTGAGCATCCTATCCAGATAACTTAAAATTATTTTAGCAGCTTTCATCTCGTTAGCACATGCTACTTTTTATTCATACCGAAACTTAAGCAGATACTCACTTTTAAGAACATACTTACAAAAATAGTAGGTGCTTCTTACTTGAGCACCTTCTTCATCATTTTATTCATACCAAGTGAAGTATGTACTCCAAAATTTCAAGTAAAAAGCAGGTGCTTAACTTTATTAATACCGCCCCATGTGTTTTCGAGAAATTCAATTTGAACCATCTAACTCAGTAATATTTCACTGCCGATAGACATTTTTTCACAACAGTCTTAGATGTTTTCAGTCAGTTTTTTATTTTCGTGAACTTTTTCTTGGTTCGTAATGATAGCATGAAAGGAGATTATGTTGCGAACATAGTTAATCATACAGTTTCAATAGTGGAATAATATCTATCTATATAGCGCTTTGAGTATAGCTAAATTGTTTACAAAACCCTTTTTTGTGAAAGCCTTTCGTAATTTTAATTTTTCTTCAGAACTACCTTCTGCACATCACCGTTATACACTTATGTCTGTGATGATCGAGTATGTAAAAAATTGCCTATCTGTGTGGCATGAAAGATCGACATGGTTCTTCCTCCTGAGAGACCCTGTCATGAGATATTCATCCCACTTTGATTCTTTAGATCCCTTTCGCTTTTCATTATCTGACTACTCTGCAAAGCAAGTACAAAGTGAGCACCCCTTATCTGAAATCAACGCTGCTTTTACTAAAGCTTCTGACGTTACTGGAAACCCTCTTCAACACGTTCCGTTTTTCCTATCCAGAATAATGCGGAAACAAAGGTGCGTACGAGTACATTTTACGTGGATTAAATATCTCATTATCTATTTTAAAATATATGTATACGCACATAACGTAAATAATGCCAGATTTCCCTTGTAATTAATGATGCTGGTACATCAGCCAAATTTTGAATACACTGGATGAAATACAGGCGGAAAGGATGAAATGATTCAACTTATGTACCGTGTGGGCTACGGTTCTAGGTACAAAATTCCTGTTTGCGTCTTGCATTTGAAATACTAAGGAGGTGAATAATATATCACAAATTGAAAGATGCAGGTTGGTTAAATATGGAAAATCATACCCTCATCCACTCAGCTGTCTTTTATTATAAATTAATTTAAGTCAGAACAGCCGAATATCTTTGTCAAAAAATAACTTTCCGGACTGATGTTCATAACATTAATTCAACAAGTAAGGGTCGCCTTTCACCGCCCAAGTTCAAAACGCCATTTCTTCAACGAAGCTTCACATATCATATATGTCAAGTCTACCACTTAGTCCGGAAGGACTTAAATTTATGTAAAATAAACTATTCAAAGCCATGTTCAGCAAGTGCTACAAAGACAGTAACACTTCAGGAGTCGTTTTACAAGTATATTATTTGCTCTGACTGGACTAAGACAAATGGCCAGCTTACAATATTATATAATATATATTTCACATCTGTTGATAAGCTCAGAAATTGGCTGATTCCAAATTGGTCTGCAATTAGTGGATCATTATCGGGGTATATGTTGTCGTACACATTACTTTTTTATTGATTCAATTCTATCTTGGGATTTAATTCCTTGACAGTGAACAATCGATGTAGAGCTTTCAAGAGAAAAACAAGAAGGGGGTTGCCAGGGAGCTGGAAAAATAATCATCTCTCTGCGAATGGCTTGTGTCCCCCACGCCGTAGCATAGGAGGATGGTCATTGATAAGGATGATTTTCTAGCACGGGATGATCTAAGATATTGCTTGCCACCCACAAGCAATTTAGACAAAAAACTTGGGGTCTGCCTAAATACATTTAATGCATCACCGTAATTAAAAGGCTTCGGCACTCGATAGCATCTACTGAATAATTGCAGGTAACGAGTACCGAAATTAAAGGAGGAATACTGAAAAAAGAATCACATTTGTATCACAAATAAATAAAAGTAAAATATAAAATATTAGCTTTAATAAGCTGTCAGTAAGAAAAAATAACTAATCATTTATAGTCTTATTTCTATTGATCTCTTTTACATACTATACTAACTATACTAACCTACCTGTATGTTACAATCTTTTCCCCATTTGCTGTCAAAAGGTTTCAAGCCTTGATTTGGAATCTGCTTTGATTTTGAAATATTTTTTGTTAGCCTTAGTTTCATATTTAAGTCCTGTCTTGTTCAATAACAAAATATCTCACCGATGCAGGTTTAGAAGAAATCATAAAAACCGATTTTTTTTTATGTTAAGAGATCTCCGGCTCTTCCAAACCCGGAAGATAAAAGAAACTGGGAACGATTGTTTGCCTATCTGTAGCGTTAATGATAAAAACATGCGGTGCAGGAATCAAAGTTGCACAAAGAAAGCTCGGTTTTACAATGTAAAATGCCAAGTTTACCTATGTAAGTGTTTTGTTTTTCAATAAAGCTAAATTTGACTAAATAAACTACTTTGACTCAATAAATTTAACTAAAAATAAAAATAACAAAATGTGGAGTAAGCTGACGCCTGTCAAGGTTGCAAATATTTCTCTGTCCTCATTATTCAAATCAAAAGAGAATTGTCCGGTGGCTCAACCGGTGAATTAAAGAATACGCCAAAATTGTATTATAGGCGTGGTATCGATTATGCAATCTGTATCATGTGGAGTAAGCTGATGCCTGTCAAAGTTGCAAATATTTCTCTGACTTCATTATTCAAATCAAAAGAGAATTGTCCGGTGGCTCAACCAATGAATTAAAGAATACGCCAAGATTGTAATATAGGCGTGGTATCGATTGTGCAATCTCTATCATGTGGAGTAAGCTGACGCCTGTCAAATTTGAAAATATTTCTCTGTCCTCATTATTCAAATCGAAAGAGAATTGTCAGCTTGAAATTAAATGCCGGTGCAAGGGTAGACTTAGGGGAAAGGCGATAGAGCGCGCGCCCCATCTAGACGCCAAAGCTTGCCATTTTTTTCCAAAGAAATGGTATATGTTCCTGTATCTTCTTGTAATAATTACCTTGCTAGACCTGAATCGTTAGGTTGTGCTCTCCTCCTAGACGAACAAAACTGAGCTATCGAAGTTGCGTAAACCTCTTACACTTTTTGGCCTCCAAGAATACCGAATTGCGGCGAACACCTTACTACGAATATTGCGTTGCGCTTCTCTCCTTTAGACAGATTTCTAAATCCCCCTTGGGTTGGTGTATTAGCTTTGCCAATATACCATTTATTTGTGCATAACCATTGGAGAAACTTATATACCACTTATCTGTAGACCCTGGTAGTAACACGTTCGCCCATCCTCCTTTCTCTGTATAGCACGGCACGCATAACTTCACCTTGACTGTGATCCAGTACCGGTAATTGATGTCCGAGGCTAATGCCACCTGGCACGGACTATTACAAAATACAGCTGTAGTGATGTGCGTACTGTTTTTCGAAGATGGTACGTTGGTACCTTCTACTTTCGGTAGATAGCTTCGTTAGGATGAATCCAAGTGAACATAGTGACGTCATTTTTTTGGTCACTACTGACGTACGCCGACCAACAAGAATGACGGTGTAATGTCACACCCAATTGATATCATCATATGACACCATAGTATGTCGTATAAAAGGCCAAATAAAAAGTCGATACGTCTGTGTATGGCGTGGATATGACGTCTATGTGACGTAGATATGACGTCTGGAAAAAATAATCGCGCAATGTATATAAATGCTCCTGAAAAATTGAAGATGTGACAACGACGCCCCTCAAGCAGTGTGTTCAGGGATGGTAGAAGGGCGCTGAAACTCATATGCTACTTACCTACCACTATTGAACTCTCTCGTTCCGAGACATCCTTATCACTTCCGCAATTTTTCAGGAGCATTGTACAAAGTGTATCGAAGTGGTAAATAAAGAACTAAAAACACCGTTTGATTTCAAACACGTTCCGGTCCTCCGATGGTTCAAAATTTGCTTGTAGCAATATATCAAAATAGCTTTGCTTTTTCACAGGAGGTGTCTCCCAAGCCTTATTGACTATGTGGCACTAAATTATACCACAATGTACCTTTAACGAAGCCATCGTGATGTCGGTTAAACCGAATTTATAAAACAAAATAGTTCAACCACTGCCAAACGGCGAACACGCATGGAACTTCGGCATCAGTCGACCTCACCGCCAAACACAATAGTGCTTCACATACACAAATATTACACATTACAAATATTCTACTAAGACTTGTTTTTGGTGTCATGATGTTCACTGAGCTGTCAAGTGTATGGATCTTTCATTCAATAATACCCACACATTTGTTGACGTATCTTAGAGAACGGGGGAATAACAAATGATGTTCAGGTGAATGCTGGTAGCTAGTTGATTCTCATTTTACGTTTTGAAAGTGCCGTGTTGTTGCGGCAGATACGTCATGATTCATAAATGCGCACTCAGTCTAGATATCTCAGATTTCATTTATAATAAAAATAAGAACACGGTTATCATTTTCAGATTTTTTTATTAATTCAAACAAATTGTTAGCGATTCAGTTGACAAAGTTTGACAAAAAGTGACAAAATCGACATAAACTTACAACATGACAAATGAGATATTCAAGTCGTTACAAATAAAATTATACTCTCCACTTTCTGGAGTCAAAAATATAGAGTGCCAAAAATTCTACAAAGTAAAATCACAAAGACTTAACTGGTCAATGTCATTAGTGATCCTACGTCCGATAGTATGTGGTAAGGTTTTGAGGGGTAGGCACGTTCGTATAATGTGTTGCGCCTTTTATTGCAATTATATAGGAAATGTCCAACAGGTACGTAAGTGTTTCTGCTGATCGGACGACGAATGCTCAGATGCTATTGAGTCAACTACCACATATTCACTTCTTCACCGTATGTAGTCAAGGTACCGTACTGTGGAAGCACTAATGAATAACTATGTTCCGTCCTCGTCGAAGTAAATATTTAGAATACATATCGTAGTACCCTCGTAGTAGTACCCAACCACCACGATTTCAAAGCGCGCACGCAGAAAAGCAAAGCGGCACCGCGCCCCTTCCCCCTAACTTTCTCCCCTCTGGCCGCCTATAAACCTTAATTTATGTACTTCAAAGCCGAGTTGTTGCAACAACTGGGTGATACATAGGGAGCGAGGGAGCTATTTACTTCACATAATTAAGATCGAACATCACTTACAGGTAAGTTCGTTTGATCATATAATTAAGATGATCTCTGTGCTTGAACCGATTGTTACGTGACGATGAAGTCAAATCAAGACTCGAACGCACTTGACGTCAGCAGGTCAAATTATCTTTCTGTTGATTTGTCTAAAACGACTAAATATTTCAACTCTAAGTACCATTTAACCGTGATAGATCCATGTATATGCTCCTAATTATAGTGTAATATGCAAACGTACAAACGTAGAGCAGTGAAGCAAATAACTATATTGTATAATAAACATTAACGGTGGTGGTCCATCCACCGTATTACGTCATATAAATTATGGATACGTAGCGGTCGAAGGGTGTGACCTCGCCCCTTCCAATATTAGAAAGAAAAACGTTGGGGCTATATTCGTGTAATCCAGATTTTGCTTTTCCACTTTAAGTACTATGTAAACACGATAGGATCCACCGTATTATGCGACATAAATTATGGATACTTAGCGGTTCAAGGGTGTGTGTGGCCTCTCCCCCTCCAATATTAGAAAGAGATACATTGGGGGTATATTCGTGTAATCAAGATTCAGATTTTTGTACTTTTCAATACTATGTCAACATGATAAGTTCAACCCGGACACCTAGGGGATATCTCTGACTTCTTACTTGAATAATCTTCCACTATTTATGTAAAATCTGATTGTGATAATTGTTTTGATAAAGGTAAAAGAGTAGTTGTACCATAAGAAGACAGTTAGACAAGGCGAATAAATTAGAGAGAGATTAAATGTAACCAAAATATGTGCTGTTCTTATTTGGTCAAGTATAAATGCTATGATGCCAGATCGATATTTCTTTTTGGATTAATTCTTTGTCGTCCACACTGGTACCAAAAAGGAAGAGAGCAGCAAATCACATCGCACGCTTCTACAGGCGCGGCGCGTGCAGTGTCTTCCGGGGCGCCTCGTTCTGGCTAAGGTACCGTACTGTGTTTTGGAACCATTCGGAATTTTTAGACATTGTACCTGATATTTTTAATTTCAAGCATATGTTTCTCAAAAATGTTGTTTATGTGAGAAATGGTTGATTTTTAAACACTGTATTATACGAGTAGGGTGAAGTCTGTTGTTAATTTCCTAATCTACAACATCGTTAAATATTCTGTATCTGTTATCAAAAGCACAAGCTAGAAATAAGTTGGTGCCTTCGGATCAAGGCGTAAGTCAGTGTGTACGTTTATCGCACATCTTTACACCGCGGAAAGTAGTATGTTTTCCATCGGTGACGTGACTCGGGTCCACGACGACGACGATACACTCGCTGCCAGTCGAAAATCAGCTGCATCAAGGCTTCATTTTATCACCTTGCTGGTAGCGTTCGTATCGACACACTTTGATAAGAATAGTCTTCGGATCGCGGAGGCTCGACGTGCTTTTGTTTTCTCCGGTGTGCCGGTATATATTGGCGCGCCGTTTCGCGCGGAGTCAGTTTGCGCGCAAAGATTGTGGAAGGTGGACGTGTCGCGCGTTTGTATTCTCGTATACGTTCCGAACACGCGTTTGACTGGATTTTCGGAATATAGTATTTTTAAGTGACATATTTTGAACTATCTAGTGTTTTGTTTTTGGGCAAGATGTCTGCGACTAGCAGTAATGGACCGACCGTTAACGGGAGTTCGAATTTGGAAATCGCGCAAAGCAATCAGGTGAGATCCTTTACGAATTAAAGAAACTTGAAATAACTATTTTAACGCTTCAATTTAAGGATCTACAAGCGGATGTACAGTTTTTCTAGAATCATAGTTAAGAACCTCAAAAACAAAATTAAAATACTAGTTCAGGATCTGCTCCGTGATTTAGTTCTTTTATCCTAGTGACAGGTAGTTGATTAATAAATAATATCGGGCTGACTTTCAAAATGGAGGTTGCCGTGTAAGCACTTTGAAAAATACAGGAGAAGTATTTGAAATGTGTGCGAAGATTGTTTACATTTCGTCCGTGCATCTGATTGTGAATTTTAGGAATAAATTACTTTATTTGTTGGTGTCATCTTTCTGGACTCTGGGAACTGATTTACTGATTAGCTGATTACATATAAGGAAGTTGATTCCGGATAGTACTGATTATCCTGTCAATGGTATTCCGAGTTCGGGAATCGGAATCACGCGCAGTAA